GATCGCACGCTTGATCTGGGCCGTCCGATCGCGCCCACGCGGATCACCAACGTGGCCCTTTTTGGAACGACGTAGTTTTTGCCACGTGGCAGGTCCCGGTTGGCCGGGACTGCTGACCGGGCCTGCTGACGTGGCTGCCGACGTGGCTTTTTTTTTTTTTTTCAGCCCCTTTCCGGGCGCTACATTAACCTTGAGCATACGTACGAAGAAAGAAACTTCCTATTTAACTTCAATTTTAAAGAGTTATGAACCAATTTCAGAACAAACAATTAATTTCATTAAGTCAACAATTTTTTCCTAACAAGTACTCAATAATATATGAAGAATGAGTAATTAAATATTTTAAAGGTAATTTCAAACTTTATCATAATAAAATATTCGAAACTACCTAGCTATAATGGGGTTATCAAGGAGCGATGTTGTCCGTGCTATGATGAATAGTCATAAAATAATTAGAGGGATGGAATTACTTTTATGTTTTATGAAGCTTGCAAATGATATTCTTGTTAAGATAATAACACAGGAATTTCTACTCATAAAAAATTATATTTCTTATGTCATATAATATTTGCGATAAACTCGAATTACTAATTATTTAGTACTGGTGGTGTAAGAGAAATGACGAAAGAGAGATTCATTAATTAGATTGAACTAAATTAGGTAATAATAAGAATGAAAGTAGTATGAAATTTTAAATGTTATAATTTAATTTTACTTACAAAATAGACACGAAAGATTATACATAGCCAAAGTTTACTATTACCAGCCATGTTAAAGACATGATATATTAACTATATCTCCTTTCGAGTTATTGATCTTTGCTATATGGCTAGTTATACTCGAAAATATTTTAGCTAAAATAAACATTATGGAGGAAAGATTATGATGATAGATTATTAATTTTAACGTATTAGCTCTTGAAGATGAAAGATTGTCTTTTCAATCTGGGTATCATATTTGATCGTACAATTCAGTAGCTCAATATCCAATTATAATGGCTAAGTTAATCCATAATAATCTTCATTTTTCAAAATGTTAGTTTGATGAACAAATTATTCATTTCTTTTAAAGCATCTCAAACCAAAGCATCCTAAACCAAACGTATCTCATTTAGTTAAAGTCTTCTTCCAAATAAGGTAGTAGAGACTTTTACAAAAATCGTGAGTTTTTAGTTAAATTTGCTTACTTTGTGGCATGGAAGATACGTTATCAATTACATACGAGATATTGAGACAATGTCTTTACTTTTTAAATGTGTTAAATAAAAGATTTTGTGGAATTATCATGATCCTACAACTATTAAGCAATTTTTTTGAGATATGAGATAAATATTTTTTTAACTAAAAATAAATTAATTCGAGAAGGTATATCATCAATTTGGTAGATCTTTCTAGAAAGTTGGTACTTATAAATTAAATACATATGTATCTTTTCATAAAATAGTTAAATAAATTTAATTGTAATTTATTTTGATTGTTTGAGAGTGTCATATTTTTAGATATAAAAAAAATAAAATATCAAAAATTACTAGAAATTATTGAATACGAAACGTTTTATATGACTTAGAGGATGTTCTACTTGAGCCATATGGATTTAATTGTTGAGGTTATCATAATTTATATTTAAGTAAAGTTGGTTTTCAAGTTATGTGTTTTCTGATTTTGGTTTACTTTTTGAAAATATTTATACTTTTTCCTTAATTTCTTTAGAAATTATTTTTTTTTTTCTTTTTGTTCTTATAAAACGTAATTGGGTAGCAAATGTCTTATATAAGGAGATATTAAATTTGTTTTAGTAGCTTTAGTTTTTTTTTTTTTTTTAACAGATCTAATTAAAGGGTCTAGTAAATTTTATGATTTTATTTTTAAATTTTTACATTTCAATTAAAATAAGTGTAAATTTATAAATTAATTATATTGTATTTTTTTTGCTAAAAAAACATTGCCTTTGTTTTTAGTTTTTTACAATACAATTTTTTTGATTGGGTAGCTATTATGAAATTTCAATTGCGAATTGATATGCTGATGAAGGCCCATCTCCTTAGACCCAACGGCACAGTTTCAGCACCGCCGTAGATCGAAACTCCAAGCTAACATTTGCAAATCAGCCTACTGACTCAGCGCTTGACGTATTGCTCAGTTCTCCTAAGTTGATTGTCTCCCCATTACAGATTCCGAACGTTTATGCGTGTTCATATGTAAGGTACTCCGAATTTCTTCTCTTCTGATCTTACTCGTTTTCGGTTCTCCATTAATGGTTTATTTCCTCCGACTTAGGGCTTTGGTTGTCATACTTGTTTTTGCGGCGTGCCTATCGGTTTTATTTTCCTGATTTCGCAAATAAAACCATTTTTGCTTCATAATTTGGGTGATTGTTTTAATTTTTCGGCTTTTTTATACTGCTTTTGTTTGTTGCCGAATAATTGCTAGGTTGATTCTTGCTTTATATTGTATCTAAATAATCGAATTATGGAGATGGTAGTGTCTGTTATTGCTGTATAATTACCATCTTGATGGTCACAAAAGAATATGAATAATTCCATGGCCGTTCTATGTTGTTTTGACATTTGCTCATATTAAAGGAAACTTTTATGTGAATCCTCGTTGCATTTTAAAATCAACCACAAGCGAGGAGTCGTGTAGTGGTTTTCTTTTTTTCTTTTTTTTTTTTTCTATTGTTCCTTTAACTGTATGGATGTGACTAATCAAACATTCTATGACTGCATACGACTGAGCAGAAGAATAATTTGTTAATAGTTAAACATACATTAGACTCTCTACTTCTCTTCGGTAAACTTTCTTCGTAATAGATATAGTTCTTGAGTCTTTTATAAACCATGGGTGATACTGGAACAAATGCTCCTTCATGTGTTACCCAGTTGTGGTGTTTTGTGCATTTGTAAAGGTTTTAAGCAACCTTTTGGAGATTTCCTACGAGCAATGACCTAAAAAGTTCCCTCTTAAGCTTAAGTTTTTCTGGTTATCTCTTTCCCTGCTTAAAGAGTTGTGGTTTCGGTTATTTTATAGCGAGCTTGATGTTCTGAAAAAGTACACCCTAGTTGATTTTAATTGGCAGCACAATGCTCAAAAAAAAAAAGAACAGAATGAGTTGAGCAAGTAGAAAACAGTAAGTAATTGGAGATTTATGGGTGCTAAAAAGTCAAATCACCAAATGCCACTGCAGCCTTCTGCTACTGACACTTCAGCTTCCTCTTGACACCTTAGTCTCCTACAAATTGCCTTCTGTCTTGACATCACTTTCCCCATAAAGGCATCCTTGTCCTCAATGATGTTCATCAACCCCAACAAGAACTCAATCCACTTTTGTCTGAAACTTTGTCTCCAGCAGTATTGAGGTCTTGACATCACTTTCCTCATAAAGGCATCCTTGTCCTCAATGATGTTCATCAAACCCAACAAGAACTCAATCCACTTTTGTCTGAAATTTTGTCTCCAGCAATATTGAAATCTTTTGACCTTCTATCAACTACTAATTTTTTATTATTCAAACCCCCTTTTAAACAATAGCAAATCCTCCTCTTCCAAAAATGTTCTTTGGATTGAAATGGTTGAACATCCATTGGGACTTCATATACGTATAAGCATCAATTGGAAGGGTTCTATTACTCTTGGACATGTAGCTCAAGTGATTCCAAAAGAAATAGCCATCCTCTAAAGCGAGAATTTTCACCTGAACATGATTTTCAGACCAGTCATTTCTTAATGAACTTTTCTCAAACTTGTATACAGCCTTCTAAAGTGGAATTTCAGCAAGCTGGACCATGTTTTTAGATTGTGTAATATCCATAACCATTTCCCCTTCCTCTTTAGTATTCCTGCATCCAAAAATTCATCACAAAATATGTAAATTCTTTTCCCAAAACCCCTTTTCTTTGATATTTCCCTATACTTTCATGGTATCTATTTTCTGCAAAATTTTTACAATCCAGCTTAGGCAGGAAGGCTTTATGTCAGGACCCAGCTTTGGTATGTAATTTACCGGAACCAAAATTTAGGAAAAATATTAAAGTTTAAATATTTGTGGGGTAATTTTGAGAAAATTAAAGATGGGGCAAAATTTAAAATTAAGGAAGCAGCGTGGGACAGAATTGGAATTTCAGAAAAGAAAAGAAGATTTTTGGAAAGAGAGAAGAGAGGGTGTTGGGGAGAGAGAAGAAAAGAGTTTTATAGAGAGAGGGAGGTTTTTATAGAGAGAAAGAATTAAAGAGAGACCGAAAGAATGTTTTAGAGAGAGAGACTGGTTTTTAGAGAGGGAAAGAAGCTTTTTAGAGAGAGAAAGGGAGGGAAAAAGAGAAAGATAGTAGAGGGAGATAGAGATTGAGATAGAGAAAAGATAATTTTATTTGAGATTTATTTATACAAAAATTATATGCTTCTCTTAATTTAACAATCCTTTATTTATATACACCAAATGGTATAAAAACTCATTCCAATTGTCACCATTGTTGTCAGAAAGATGAAGAAAGCCGGTGTTTCAGTTGTATGAACAGTCGGGCTGGTTCAGAGATGAAGGGTCAGGCCGGTTCTCTGCATGGAGCGGTTTACTGCAACCCAATATATATATATATATATATATTTAATTCCTGCAGCCAGTTCCTAACAATTCCTTCCCCTTGAGAATCTTGCCATTGAGGTTAAAATTTAACTTTCAAACATGTGGTGTCAAAGTATATTATTATTATTTATTATATTACATATAGATATTTATATTATATATATACACTATACTATCGAAGAACTCCATGTGGATCTTTTGCATTATTTTTCTGTTTGCCATATGGAGGTTGATCTTCACTTCTTCATCACATGCCTCCATTGCCATTGTTATTTTTCTTTACACCAATGCCCTGAAGAGTATTTTTCTCCACAACTATAACAAAGATTGTTCCTCCTCAATTCCATATGATTTAGACTCCTCAAGAGTGCTGTTTTTCGAAAATTCTGAATTTTAGAGGAACTTTCAGTGATGAGAACACTTCCTTTACAAGAAGTTGTAGAGTATTTCAACTTATTGTGACGGTTGATGATATCTAGTGCTTGTTTTTACGATAAAGCTAACTCAAATGCTTGAGTCAAGGTGCGCAGTCTGTACATTCTTACCGTCGGTCGAAATTTATTCTTTAAACCACTTGTAAAATTAGAGATGACTTTTTTTTTTTTCCAGAAAGACAAGGGTTTTGTTGTTAATAATATGGATCTCATTTCTTCAAACTTTTCTTGATACTGGAGCACGGTCTCTTCCTTGATCAATTTGTTGAATTCTTCAACATATTAACTCTTGCTAATCCTCTAAACTTTTTACACAGTTCCACCTTGAATACTTCCTATTTAAATATATTTGGATCATTTGCTAACTCATGGAACCATATCTCTGCCTTGTCTCTGAGATACATTGAGGTTATTTTTTCATTTTACTGTCTTTTTGTGTTGAAAACATGTAAATACTTGTTGCATCTTTTGATCCATGTTCTAGGTTTTGCCAATCAAAAATAGGAATTTCAATTTTTGGGATAGGGTTACCAACTTGATTATCCCTCTGATCCGAACTACCAACCCCAATTTTCTTATTTCTCAGGTTCAGTAATATTCCTCCATCAATATTTAAAGTAGAGACAGAGGGATTTATCCGAGCGGTTGTTTCACCAATCCGCGTACTGTTTTGCAAGATATCGGTGAGTCTTTCCAGTTGTTGGCCAAACATAACCGGTCGTTGGTCCACTATGACTCAGGTTTGTTGTTATGATTCATACATTTCGGATCTAAATTTTGAAATTTTTTTATCGATCTCGCATATATTTTCCTCCAAATTTTTTTTATCTTCTGTAATTCGGACACCGTATCTTTGCCCTTATTTTTCACCATAGTCACGAAGCTTGCAAGAGTTTTGTTAGAATCAAGCTGCTCTAATATTAAGTTGTTAGAATCCGACTTTTACATGTAATTTACTGGAACTAAAATTTAGGAAAAATATTAAAATTTAAATGTTTGTGGGGTTAAGTTAGATAAAATTAAAGATGAGGCAGAATTTAAAATTAAGGAAGTAGAGTGGGACAGAATTTAAAATTAAGGAAGTAGAATTTAAAATTTCAGAAAAGAAAAGAAGATTTTGGAAAGAGAGAAGAGAGGGTGTCGGGGAGACAGAAGAAGAGAGTTTTAGAGAGAGAAAGAATTAGAGAGAGAGTGAGAGAATGTTTTAGAGAGAGAGACTGGTTGTTAGGGAGAGAAAGAGACTGTAGAGAGAGAAAGAAGCTGTTTAGAGAGAGAAATGGAGGGTAAAAGAGAAAGATAGCAGAGAAGAGAGATGGAGATTGGGATAGAGAAAAGATAATTCTATTTGAAATTTATTTATAAAAAAATTACATGCTTCCCGTAATTTTACAACCTTCTATTCATATACACTAAATGGTACAAGAAAACTCATTCCAATCGTCGCCATTGTTGCCAGAAAGATGAAGAAAGCCAACATTTCAGCTGTATATGGCGTCAGATGGAGGAAGAAGATGAACAGTCGGGCTGTCTCGAAGATGAAGGGTCAGGCCGGTTCACTGCATGGAGCGGTTCAATGCAAACCATTTTTTTTTTTGTTTAATTCCTGCAGCCAGTTCCTAAAACTTTAGCAGGGCTACATGGAGGTAAAGAGGACTTAAAGGAGAGCTCTATCATATTTTGGTAAAATTTAAGGGAAATATACCTATTGGCTTTTGTCTATGACAGTATTAACCATTCCAAGGAGAGATCAATTGGTCCTTGTGATCTCCTTGCATGAAAGAACCCCATCTATTTTTCTCTCTTTGAAAAACAATAGTAAGGCTGAATATGACATAACTCTAAAAGAAGATAGATCCTAGCTCTCCGTGGTGGTGAAGTCCTTTTAAGTAAAATTGAAGACGAGTGTCAAGAGGTTTGATCATTTAGCTCTTATGACTTGAATTGTCGCAAGAGAATTAGATAGCAGTTAGAGGGGATGAGAAAGAGGAAAAGGAGAATTGGAAAGAAGGAAAGAGAGTTGAGAGAGAGGAGATGGAATTTGAATATGTAGAAATTTGAATTTCTGGTTGAGGACAATATCCTTGCAACTTCTATTTATACCGTTAAATGTAAAGCTGCCTAAGCTAGTTAACAGAAAAAGAAATTCTAATGAACTCGACCCCGCCTATTTATCCATTTATATCCAATACTCAAAATAACCATACTAATTCTCACAGCCTAACCCGACGTCTTTGACACACCTTTGACGACTTGCTTGTACTGACAATAATTCCCCATGCTTGGACGACAACATTGTCCCCAGGATTGAGATTAGGGAATTTCTGAAGCAAGAATTCATAGTCTTCCCAGGTGCAAGCATTAGTATTTGTTCCTGTCAAATGCACAAGCACCTGTTCCACTTCCTTCCCATTCTGAAGAATTTTTTGTTGCTATAGGATCTTCTTTGGCCACAATACTATTGTTCCTTCCAAGTCACTTTCGAGCAGATGATCAAAGTGAATTTGATTCCACAGGAAAATTTTTTCAGTTGAGAAACATGAAATATGAGATGGATGCGAGAAGTGGATGGTAACTTAAGCTTGTAGGCCACCTCCCTGACCTTCTATATGACTTAAAATGGTCCATAAAAGCGAGGGAACAACTCAGAAGCCTGATACTGATGAACTGAACCCTGCTTGAAGGATTGTAGGTTGAGCAACGCCAGATCATTTTCCCGCAAGCTTCTGTCGTTGCGATGGATGTCAGCGTACTGCTTAGTTCATTGCTGAGTCTTAAGTAGATGTTGGCTAATTTTACCACTAATCCTGCTGCATTCTGTTAGGTAGTCCTATGACAGCTTGAGAAGGTCTCTGAGTAGCCATCATTTCGAAGAATTAGGGTGGAGCATGGCCATCATTTCACGTTGGAGTGCTATTTAGTATTATACTACCACTCTGCGAAGGCTAGCCATTTTGGCCCATGCCTTCGGCTTTTGATGAGCCATGCATCTGAGATACACCTCAAGATGTTGGTTGAGTCGTTCAATTTGTCCGTAAGTTTATGGGTGATAGGCAGAGATAAAATGTAATGTGGTTCCCACCATTCTCATTAATTCCTTCCAAAAGTTATCTTAAAAAAACATTAGTTCCTTCCAAAAGAGACTGGTAAAGCCACAAAATGGCTGTATTTTGTGAAATGGTCAACAATAACTAGGATAGTGTCCTTGCCTTTGACTTTGCTAATTGCTCAATGTAAGTCTAAGGAAACATGGGCCCAAGCTTGAGTGGGTACAGATAAATGCTGCAGCAATGCTAGTAAGGGAACCCTCTCTGTTTTGTGCTTCTGGCAAACTTCACAATGTTGGATCCATTGGCTTACCTGTTGCTTGACTCCTTGTCAAAAGAAACGTTAGTTTTAAGGCATTTAAAAATTTCCTTAACTCCTGAATGCCCTCCAACAACTGAAATATGATGTTGGTATATGATTCTATCCCTTAAATCAGTGTTGGACACCTTCACAATCTGACTCTTGTATTTGAAAACTCCATTCCTTAAACTAAAAGGGAGTTGGCTCTCAGGTTTAATGAGCAGCTCCTCTGCTAGAGTTAGCAAGGAAGAATCACCCTTGTAGCTCTCCAACACTTCTGGTAGCCAAGCAGGCGTGGTCGAGGTCACCACTGCTTGTAATTCAGCCCCTTCATCACCTTCCAGCCTCCTAGACAAGGCATCTGCTACACTGTTTTTCAACCCCTTTCTTATATAGGATTCTATAGTCCAGCCCAAGCAGCTTATATTGACAATTTTCTAATATTGGCAATTTTCCTACTACTGGGGCATGAGACATAAGTTTGAAAGTACTTGGAGGTATTGGTTATATGATTGGTAGCCCGAGTCTACTAATCATAAGTTTTCAAATGGTTATCTAAGGCATTTAAACTGCATGAGAATGAAGTCATACTTGATTGTTCTATCAAACTTGTAGCTGTGAGTTTCCCAAGATCCTCTAATATTGCTTAGTAATCGTTCTATCTCAGTTTTGAATTCATTAAGATTAATAATTTTATTTTCCTCCTTCTGGTGGGCCTGGGACCACATGGGTGTATCTATGGGACTTTGGTGGAATATTCTTGTAACCCCACTCATTATTTGAGGTATTAGGCTTGCCATGGAGTTTTAAACATTTATATTTGGTGCGTTTGAGCTTCTTGCAAAAAATACACCAAAGATTACCCCTGTTGTCAGTGTTAAATCTTGGATTTTCAACTTGGCTGGTGGAGTGGCTGGAGTCTTTGGACATTATGCTTAGCTATCAGTGGGTCCAGATTCTAACATGATCCTTCCCCTGCTCTCTTCTGTTGATATAATAGCAATTACCTTGTTTTGTTTTTTGAAAGAAAAGTATAGAGATTGTATTGATGATAGGTGCCAAAGGGGTACCGCCATTTACAAAGTTTACATATTGATAAGCATATCTACAATAGAAGCAAAATCAACATTACTATCAATATTATGCTCAAGTATGGTAGAGCCAAAATAGTGAAACCAGTTGTCTTTTAAAGTGCTGAATTCTAGCAATTACCTCGTTTAGCAATGATCTTTCGTTTTTACCCAAGATTTTGACCCTTAATCAAACTCCTGGATGAGTCCTGTCAGAAACTGATAGACATGATATTTTATCCACAAATTTTTTTAAGCAGGTTGCATACTTACTGGAGTCCATATTAAGACTGCAGTATTGATCCAATTCTTGTTACCAACCTTTCTATATGTTGGAATATTCAGTGATTAACCTGTTTTCTTGCTTGGTGGACCATGTCTTGACGTTCAGATAACAAATTCTAGGCTCTATCTTTGACTTTAGAATAGGTTTCTCTGATTGCATCATATACTTTTTTGGTTTTAGAAAGAAACATAACTGCTTATTTCCGACGACATAGAGTTCCAGAGCCAAGCCATGATCATTAAGTCTTCCTCATCTCTTGCATCAAACGCTGGATCTCCAGGTTTTGGTCCAGTTCTCAAGAGGGGTCTGAACTTTTATTTTTTCTTAAGAGTGACCCGAATTAATTGCAACCAACTCAAGTAATTATTCCCAGTGAAGTGATAAGTAGCTTGGATTGGCTGAAATCTGCCATTGTTTTGGTTAGGATTTTCTATGTGGTAATTTCTCTTGTATTTTGGGATGTAACATCCGATGTATTTTAAGGGTTGTAGGACAAATTAAAGAGAAATAAAGGGTCACGGGAAGGATGTTACCAATAGGTACCATAGTTGTGTGCCTGGAAAGGACTACTGCACCTAGAGTGGCTGAGCAGAAAGGCAGTGTACGACTGGACGTGGCACACAGGTCTTCGCAAACTAGATGGAGGCATGCGCTGCAAGAGGGGCTGCACAGAAGGTGGTATACAGCTGGATAAAGGCTTGGCTGGGGCACAGAAGGTGGTGTCACATTTATCTTTGGAGGAAGTTGGGCGTGCAGCTGAGGCTTGGCTGGCTGGACAGAGGCTATGGAGGTGCAAACGTGCAGTTCTGGTGCATGGCGGCTGAGCGGCTTCTTCTGGTTGTTTCAGGCTGTGCAGTTTGGGAGTTAGGGCTGACTATGAAAGTTGGCTTGTAGTGGAGATGACTGGTCTTTTAGTGGCTGGTGGTTGAATTTTGGTGGTGGGCTATGAAGGCTGACCTTTTTTAGGGTTTTCTTGTTTTGAAGGAAGGCCAAATAAAGTTTGCAACAAAAGTTTAGAGTTAACCTGACTCTGATATGATGTTAAGAATGGTTGAATTAGTCTTTTACTAAATCTCACAGTTATATATATACAGGTTTTATAGAATAAAAGAGAAATAAATAATTAATTATGTTAATTACTTAAAAGTGTATTTTACCTTAACATTTTTTTTTAAAATAAAAATATTTTTTTCTTGTACTCTTTAACCAGATTGGTACAATACACTCTATTTAGAAATATTCTTACTCAATTTAGTAAGGATGAATTTCACAGTTTATTAATTGACTGATGTCTTGGAACCATAATTTTATTGGTGACAACTTTAATCTAGGGTATGAAAGATGATCTTCATTTCGGCAGCATTTTCCACAAATGGTACATGAATTTCTTTATGACTTATTCACTTATGCATTTCTTAGGTATTTTCTTGAGGAGGAAAAGGGCACTAGAATTCTAAATGACTCGAGCACGGAATGCTATTGTAGCCACTGGCTTAGTAGCTTTTGCAGCTGTCGGCTTAGCATTTCCCTTCTACATGGCGTAAGAATTTTGCAATTTAATTTGCATTCTAGCATAACAATAAATATATGTTGAATGGACATCACTGCATCTCCAAACTTGTTATGCTGTCTTATTCAGGTCTTCAAAGAAGCCTGTAATTGACCCATCAAAGCCACTGCCACCTCAAGCAACTTTCCGGGGGCCTTACATAAACACCGGTTCACGGGACGTTGGACCTGATCCTCAGACTTACACAAAGAAATAATTCTGTTTGTGAACATCATGGACGCAAGTGAAAATCATTTTCTTGGACTGTTGCATATGCTGTGGAGGCTGGAGCAAGAAATCAACGGGGAACTGGGACGGTTATAGCTTGAGAATATTATACTCTCTTGATCTAGAATGAAATTGAGAAAGGCACGAGAATCTGCTGTATAGGAACTTGAAAAGTGAAACCTCCCAGTGTTGTCTAATTTGTAGCATAAACTGTCGTCGTTCATTGATTTCCATATCCTAACTATTTATTTATTTTATTGTCAAAACACAACTAATGCAGTATTTTAGCTTATTTATTTTTTATACACTGTTATGCTTCTATTTTGTTTTCTTTTTTTGGGTAGGTCAATCATAAGCTGCTAAATTTAGATAGTAAGTTTTTGGTGTTTGGATTAGTAGGCTGAGGGAGGAGGGAGGAGGGAGGAGAGTAGATAGGAGATAGGAGATAGGAGATAGAGGCGGGCTATCTGAAGGGCCAGTGTTTTCTTCTTATTTGTATATATCTTTAAATCTCCATCATCCTTTTTATCCGCATAAGCCACCTGCTGACTCTTATATATACATATAGATTGTAACACTCGAA